GGTTTTTTTTTTTGTTTTGTTTTTTTTAAGTTAAGCATTCAGTTTATATTTACATTCTTCTCCCCTGCTTGTAAATAAATGAAAAATAAATGCTTCTTTTCATACATTATAAAATTAAGGTAGTAATCGCTCTCCAGCAATGTATCTTGGAAATGGAATTAAACTATCCTGAAGCTCTAAAAAGCTGGTGGTATGGGAAATGCTAATTAGAGCTCATTGCTCTCCTGTGCATGCTGTTTTCCTATACATTGGGAAGCAAAAGGGCAAAGTCTTGAAAGCTTCAATTTCTAATTAATTTTATCTTTTTAGGCTTTCCATCAGTCCTAAGTTAATGCCTAACTCAAGCTGGTATCCATAAATATCATAGGAAAACTGAAGTCAAGTATCCTTGGCTTCACCCATCTTTGAGGCTTCCAAATGAGTAACTGTATTCTTACTATAACATTATTACTTTGACTACGATGGAGACTCTTCCCTCTTTCAGGAAATTGCCCATCAGAAAGTGGAGGGTAATCCGCTACCTAGGTACCAGTGAAGTGGGCAAAGAAAAGTTGACAGATATGCCTGGAACTGCCAAAGAGCAATTTTAAATTCCATCACTGAGCAGGGAAAAAGAATCAACTGTTTTAATCTCAAAAGTCCACCATAAGCTGGTCAAAAACATTCCCCATGGCAATCAGAAATGCCTTTCCTAAAATTTTTATGCTATTAGGAAAAAATGTCACATAGCTTTAGTAAGAATTGTGGAAAGATTTGGGTTTATTCAGTTTTGGAAGAATTGGGTTTTTTTTCTTCTTCTTTATATAGAACCACACACTTGACGCTTCTTCCTTTATAGGTGAAAGACTTAAATGGTAACCTCTTCAGGGAGAAGCCTTTTAGGCAGTTTCCACAAAGGCACTGCTGTCCTGACAAAGGACTCTAACAAAATATTTAAGAAAGCAAAGATCCTAATCTTCTGAAAAATACTGGAGAATTTAAAATAGAACATGGATTTTAGCTATAAAAGCTCAAAAAAAAAAGAAATACTCTGATCACAACCATTCTGAGATTAGAGCTTAGGAAGTCGTCAGCCATTTAAGGATGATGACACTAGATGATTGTCTCAAATGACTGACATGTCTTACAGAAATCCTAGTGGTTAGAATGCTGGCTGGACTCACTGACTGCCAGACAGTTCAAGTTGCACCGTTAAGCAAATGGAGGAAAAAATGGAGGACCTTTTAAAGCACATTGTCTCACTTCTGAGATGTTGACATATGCCAGGTAGTTCAACATTAAGACTGGATTTGATGTTTGCCAGTGAGGATCTACCTTAGAGTCAGTGCTCTCAAAATACCTTAGCAAAAGGATGCTAACAGTTTGAAGACGAGCATTTCTTCTGTAGCCATAGTAGGAGCAATGCAAGTCACTTAGATTGTGGACAAATTTAGGGGTCTATTCAAATAATAAAAAAACCACGCCAACTCTATGAACTTAAAATTACAGTTTGTGCTCCAACATACAATACTCACCACTTCTGGTCATATTAACTTAAGCTTTTAGTTCTATAATATTTATTAAGTAGCAGCTACAAAGTTACAGGACAGCTGGTGATAAACTGAGTGTTGAGAGCAGTCTCTGTTCCAAAGGTTTGCCATTTTGAAGCCAAAATCTAGCACTACGATAATTTCATCTGATTTGTTTGTACAACACCATAACATTTTTTTTTTCCCAGAAGGCAGTTAAATTGTGTATTTTAAAAAGATACTTAACACTTAAACTCGCAGCCAATGAAGAGTTGAACACCTCCTCTATTTCAATTTTTAGTTATACTTACTACAGAAAACTGAATTTGTCTGGTTTGGCTTCTTAGTATTTGAGCTTGCCTGACTTTGATGTCAGGATTAATAAGTGCTGTTCTCCCACTCCTCAGTACCAGATATCTTTTTCCATGTGTAAATATTTACTCTCCAGTATCAAAATGTCGCTTCATCTTCTTTGGTAATGATAGAGGCAGAGTTCCTCAAGCCTCACACTGGAAGATCTACTATCCAGCCACAGGTCTTACTTTAAACTCAATTATTGCTAATGCCTTCTGAAATGCAGACATGAAAATTGAACATTTTTCTGGTAGTAGTCTTCTCCATGCTGTTTGGGAGGCAAAATAAGTTCCCTACTTTTATGTATTTTTTCCCTTTGTACATGTTCAAGTACTTCATCAGGCTTTTAACTACAACTCTGAAGGCTCAGCACTGAGGTGGTTCTCTGGCACAAGTCTTTTTGCATCGCTGCTTTTTTTGTCTACCATGTACAGAGCGTACAATCTTTGTTCAAAGAGACCACTGGTACCTTGTGCTGACTTTTTTTGCAGGTATAGCTATTCAATCTGATGATTCAGAGAACAATGGAACAATATCATGTTCTCATTATTTTCTATCCCAACAATGTTTCTCTTCTCCAAACTTTACCAAACAGTTGATTCCTCCTATGCTTTTCTGTATAGATGACATACAATCATTCTTTGTTAGACAGTAAAACTCTGGATTCCTTTGGTTCTCTTAAAAGTCCTGGTACATTGATTAATTCCTTAAGGTACTTGCACACATAAGGTCTTCATCCCATTTTCTAACCCTTCTCTTCTGTTTCACTAGCCACAATAAATGCTTCTGTTAACATCACCACCACTTCTTGAGGACAGAACTAACACATCGGTTATGTACAGTGGAACCTAAATAGAAAATGATAGAAAAGACATGTATCGCTTGATTTCAATTAGCTACAGGTTTTGAAGGCTCCTTACAAGAAAAAAAATTTAGGCAGTCAGTGAATTAATTCTTTCATACAGTACAGCATGTACATACTGGCAAGAAATGAGCCCCTAATCACAGGTCCCTGGCAGTGGCACCTGTTACTGAGGCAACCAGAATACTCCTCTGGAAGAGCTGAAACTATGTAGTCATCACTGGGTAAATTGCTTCTGTTCACTAGAGCAAGAAGTATTTCTTTGGAATGTACCTCAAAAGAAATTCCTGCTCAGTATTAATATTTTCAGACAAACTGAATAAAAGGCACTGTTGCTCAAGCAGTACATTTGTTGTCTCCAACCGTTTAAAAAAAAATAAAAAGATGTTTTTGAACAACTAGCTACTGTTGCCCTAAGAAGGCTTCCTTGTTACCCCTTAGTAATTTCACCTCTCCCTATAAAAGCTTAACATAAAAATTGCTTTTATCTGAAGCATGTCGAGTCTCACCTTTATATCTATCTTTATATCTAAAATTATGAGTTAGTATAACAGTATGCATTATAAAATTATACCATTTACTTCAGACATGTCTGAACAGCTAAATCTTCAAACTATACAAAAATAAAGTGTATGAAATCTTACAAAAGGAGGACATTAAGACATTAATAGCTAATCCAAAAAATAGAATAACAACTTATACACAGCAGTAAGCATAAGCAATGTAGCCTACAACAGCTTTCAATTAACAGGACCTCTGAAACAAGCATCAGCTAAAATTGGAACATTCCCAAGCACAATAATGTTTCCAATTTATTACCTTTACCACAGTACAAGCTTTCACAACCCAAATGTCCATTGTCTGTTGGTCTGTAAACAAAAGCTACTATCCACCCTCCTCATTTTAAGAGGGTGAATATTTTCAGTCCTCAGTCAAGTTTCATATCCATCACTTGCATAAGGAATCAAGAGCCTCTTCTCTTGTTAAATTACTCTTTTTTTTTTTTTTTGTCATACAGCCTGCAGTGAAGTAAAATCACAGTGAAAGTCCTGGGAAAAACATGATCTTTACAGCAGGACTTGAACCATTCTAATAATAAATGCATCTAACAAAGCTTCCCATAATAAAAGCATGGCATTTCCATTTCCAGAAATCAAGTCGATTAGAAATCCTAAGTTCTACTCAATAACCCCAAAAGATCTAAAAGTGAAAAGATTCATCTCCTCAGTCAAATACAAGTCTTTCAGTTTCATTTGCAGAGAGACTTTTCCAGTCTGTAAAACAGTAGTGCAATTCAATTAGTTCTACTTCTTTTATTTTTCTTAAAGTCCAGTAGATAAACGTCCTAGCTCTACGGAAAGATAGGAAGATGCTCCGGTAAACAAGAAACTTTGGCAAGCCCAGGAAGGCTTACTAGTCCATTAAAGCTTAGAAGTCCAAAGTGGCTTAAAAATGGTTTATGAATAAACTAAAAAAAACCCCAACAAAAAAAAAAAAACACCAAAACTAAAAAGACAAGCTAAAAAAAAGAAATAAATAGGCAGAAATGAATGTAAACTGTCTGAACTTTTTAATGATTTCTCATTGACAGCTGGCACAACCTTTGACAGTACAGTCAGTAAATATAGTTGACCTACAGAGCATTCCATTAGGGCATCCAGTCTGGAATGCTCAAATGGAATTACATTCCTAAAGATTTAAAAAATAGAGTTCTTATAACATTACTATAGGTTTCTTCTGCCCACCTCACTTACACTTCTTCTTAAAGAGGCTTTTTATTTTTGATGGCTTTTTGTTTTTTTCACCATTTTGGTACAGGTCCTGTGGGATGCTACTTATCCTAGGAACAGAAGCAGCTTCATGGCTGGGTTTACTATCACTGCTGGCTGAAGAACACGAGGTGTGCCGAGGCTTTGGGACTGGGATCCCAGTTGAAAGCTGGTTCATGCTGCAGGACTTCTCCAGGATTCCATTATAAACTTTGCTTGCAGGACTAAAGATCATGCTCTTAGTTTCTGCCATGCCTACACAGTCAGGAGAGCCCCTAGAAATATCTGCAGTTAGAGAAGAGGAGTCTCCTGTAGATGATTCCTCCAGCGAGAATTCTTCCGGGGATACTTTCTGAGGAGAAAGTGTCTGGTACATCTCAAGACTTGCTGGAGGAGACTGCTTCCTTCCAGTGGATGAATTTAAGGAGTCACATTCCGAACCTGTTTCCTGTACTTCCCTGAGTCAGAGCAAAGAGAGGAGAAAACATAATGAAACTACTATTTCCTTCATGCAGTTAAAAAGGAAATTAATTTAGAATCAATAACATTAGTCTAAAAGCACCACCCACACTTTTCCTTAGTAGTTAATTAACAAAAAACATTGTTAAACATTTTAACTTACAACTTGCATTACATCATCTTATTATCTAAACTTAAGATAATTAATTTGTGCAATCTTGTTTTTGTGGGCGGCAGCATTTGCCCAGAATCAGTCATCTGTATCTCACTTCAAAGAACAAAAACTATCTTTCTGGCACGTGAAGTCAAGAGAAGTTATGAAATGAAAGAGGGAGATTTAAGCCTATCATATACAAAAAGTTTCTTCAGGACAAGTGTCCCTACCTTTCAACAAGCTCATTTGCTCCTTCCAAAAGGAATTTAACCTTTTCCTATGAGGCCATGTAACAAGAGTAGGTACACGCTCAACATGCTGTAAGAATTGTGTTACCATCCATCTTCTCTTCGCCCAGTAGCTGACATTGCTTTTGATCCTAGTTTCAGATGTAAAAGCCAGTAACATATTGTAATGGAGAATCAGGGTTAGTTCAGTGCACCCTGGTTTGTAACATTACTTAACTGTATATGACATGCTAGCTATTTACATACACATACCAGACAAGAACTCTCTCTGTTCCATGTGGACTATATTAATTTATATTATCCTACAGATTACTTTAACTTTTGGCTTGGTTCAACCTCTAATTCTAAACCGTTAGTCTCAAATAATCCTATCAGAGTTCCAAGTGCTGTTTGCTAATCTCCGTACCATTGTTTATCAGCAGAGAAGTAAATGGCTTCCTCCTCCTCTTCGGTTCGATAAAGAGCTGGGCAGCTCGACACAGAAAGGATGTCAGGGTCAGGGGAGTGCAAAGCATGCTGAGACTGTGGAGATGATGGCACAACATTGCGTCTTGATCGACACAAGCTACTGCTTCTTGCCAGTGTGCTGGGAGGTTTTACAATGGACCCTGAGGCAAAGAAAAAGCACACCAAAACCCTCCAGGTGACATTGATGTTAACATTATCTACTCTGAAGACTAAATAGCAGGTATCTGCTTCAGCCACAGCGATTCTTAAACTTTGACATTGCTCAACTGTTTAGAGGGAAGAAAGACTGGCATCACCTTATACATTCCACATTAGATGAAGCAGCTAACCAAGACGTAACTGCAGCAGTTTGTGCCTGCCAAATATTACTCTGACCACATGCACCAAAACTCTGGCTCACTATGCTCTCTTGAGAACAAAGAGAAAGATTCTACTGAAACTCCCAACCCTTTAGAAACTAAAAATAGCAGTGCTGAAATTAGTCTGTTACACAATATCCTGTATTTTACTTAAGTGGCGATTTGGAGCTTAAAAGAATATGTAAAAGTTTCGCAATGTAGGTATATCTAACCAAACAGCCAACTGAAATACACTGCATTAGTTGCAAGTTACATTAGACATGGAAGACCAATTTCATTTCTATAACGTGACAAAATATATAATTCAACCTCATTTTAAGCTCAAGAATTTCCTATTTGATAACACTTTCTTTTGCCAGGCTAACTATGAATTTCCGGACACAAAAATACTAAGACTGGGTGGAGACAGCAACACAAGACTTGACCAGGAAAGTAGCTAACAGGAAATGACCAACTAAAATGTTCCTAATCCAATTCCTCCTTCAAAAGATGATTAGACAGCAATACTTCTATGGAAATAAATCTACAGACCTGTTTTCAGGCCAGCTGATATGAGCCTCAGGATGTCTCATACTCCTCCTCAAACTGTCCCACAGAACGCATCGCTGCTTAGGTAAGACAGACCATACCCTTACTGATGTTCAAAATGTTTACCAAATACAACACACAAAAAAATTCAATTATTTTTGTAGACAAGGATGTTTAGCCTGGCAAAATGCGTTTTATTTTTTGAGATGCCAGTTTAGCATCAGGTAAATTACAGGTTTCCCTTCCTGGAATCTCAGAAAAGGTCGAGTTGTCATTCTGCTTTTAGTGCAGGAAGTCACAACTTTCACAAAACAGCAAGTAGCTGCACCTTCATCAACACTTAGACTTTGTTTCCTGCCGGGCTGAGCAGAAAAGAAAGGTTTACGAGTCCCAACATGACAGTCATCATGTAACTCAACCTTTTGACTTTATTTTTTATGAACTCCCTACTGACCTGAAAAGCAGGTGTTGGCAGCTCAAAAATAAGCTTGTGTCATTACAAAGATATTCCTAAAAAAGCAAATATGAACCGAGATAAGAGAATAAGAATCCCTTTATGAAATTTGTACTATGTGTCCAGGTAAATCAGATACTGTCCTACTCACTGGTGTAAAAAAGAAAAAGATTGCACCATCAGTGAATTTTGAGAGAAGTTACAAACATTTTGGTTCCTTATAGGTGTATATACACGGGATTATGAAGGATTCAGCTATGACAATTTAACACCTAGAATTTTCTAGTACAAATGTGTGCTGGTTTTGGCTGGGATAGAGTTCATTTTCTTCATAGTAGCTAGTATGGGGCTGTGTTTTGGATTTGTACTGGAAGCAGTGTTGATAACACAAGGATGTTTTTGTTGCTGCTGAGCAGTGCTTACACAGAGTCAAGGCCTTTTCTGCTCCTCACACCATCCCACCAGTGAGTAGGCTGGGGGTGCACAAGAAGTTGGGAGGGGACACAGCTGGGACAGCTGACCCCAACTGACCAAAGGGGTATTCCACACCATATGACATCATGCTCAGCATATAAAGCTGGGGGAAGAAGAAG